ATAATAATAATAATAAAAGATGTTCATTGTGGGAACGAAATAATAATTTGATCTAAGTAAGAGTTTTTTGTTTTTTTTTCCTTCCGAATTGTAAAAAATCCTTACGTGATAGGAAAAAAATAATATTATTTTCGAAACCTGCGAACTGAATTATGGGAAATCCGTTATTAAAACCAAAACAAGTTTTATGAAATTTAAATTTGCAGGGATGCGTTATTTTTACTGCGGAATGATGAACAGGGAAAAGCTGGCCCATCACACGTGTTGTTGAACAGGGAAAAGCTGGCCCATCACACGTGTTGTTGAACAGGGAAAAGCTGGCCCATCACACGTGTTGTTGAACAGGGAAAAGCTGGCCCATCACACGTGTTGTTGAACAAGGAAAAGCTGGCCCATCACACGTGTTGTTGAACAGGGAAAGCTGGCCCATCACACATGTTGTTGCATTGCTGCACTGATTGTCTTCGTTCGGTTTAAGATGTTCTTTAAAAATGCGTGACGTTAGGTGGAGTATCGTGGAACCAATATGGAAAACGTAATTACTCTTCAGATGAAGGAGTCTTTTAGTGATCAGACGGTTGAAATCACAACTAAAACTAAATGTACACATATTTTCCCGTATGTTTGAAACAGTAAGTGTTACATAACCCTTGTCTGCGGGTACTATCTACACTTTCCTGCGGGTACTATCTACACTTTTCCTGCGGGTACTATCTACACTTTCCTGCGGGTACTATCTACACTTATCTGCGGGTACTATCTACACTTATCTGCGGGTACTATCTGCACTTACCTGCGGGTACTATCTGCACTTACCTGCGGGTACTATCTACACTCACCTGCCGGTACTATCTGCACTTATCTGCCGGCACTATTGACACTTATTTTCGAGTACTATCGACTCTTATCTATGGGTACTATCGACACTTTTGTCTCTTGCACAACTACAAGGTTCTTTATCGGTTCGTTATCACACTAACTAAGGTACCACACTACCACTTTATAGGTTCGTTATCACACTAACTAAGGTACCACACTACCACTTTATAGGTTCGTTATCACACTAACTAAGGTACCACACTACCACTTTATCGGTTCGTTATCACACTAACTAAGGTACACGCTACCACTTTATCGGTTCGTTATCACACTAACTAAGGTACCACACTACCAATTTATCGGTTCGTTATCACACTAACTAAGGTACCACACTACCACTTTATCGGTTCGTTATCACACTTGCTAAGGTACCACACTACCTCTACATAGTAATTACACAATTAAGATGAAGTTCTTAAACTGTGTAAATATTTTAAAATTTAAATACAACTCCATGCAATGTCTTATATAAGCTCATAATATATATATATATATATATATATATATATAAAAAAAATCATGAAATATATACGTATTTCGTTTAATATTATAAGAACCTTCTTTACCGATTGTCGCACCCCACGGTTCGAGTTATCCTTGCTGGGCTCGTGCGCTCGCGCTTCAACCTGACTGAGCTGCTTCGAAGTTTTCTTAATTTTTGCTGCAAAGAGAACAGGGCTAACGAGAGGTTAAATAATGGTTTATTGGATGGGGCTTCCTTGTATACGGTTGCCTAGTAACTGAAGACATAACATTCTGGGAGATGTAACTGTTAATGAACAGTTTTTGTGAAAATTTTAAAGGAGGCGGAAGGAGTGGTGCGTCACCACTGAATGTTACACTACAAACAGAACAGGTAATATCAGTTGAATGTGCATGGATTTATAATATCATAACAGCAGTGGTGTATGTATATATTAAATATTATAGTGTTTAGTATTCTATTGTATGTAGTGTTTAGTATTCCATTGTGTGTATGTAGTGTTTAGTATTCCATTGTGTGTGTGTGTAGTGTTTAGTATTCTATTGTATGTAGTGTTTAGTATGCCATTGTGTGTGTGTGTGTAGTGTTTAGTACTCCATTGTGTGTGTGTGTGTAGTGTTTAGTACTCCATTGTGTGTGTGTGTGTAGTGTTTAGTACTCCATTGTGTGTGTGTGTGTAGTGTTTAGTACTCCATTGTGTGTGTGTGTGTGTAGTGTTTAGTACTCCATTGTGTGTGTGTGTGTGTGTAGTGTTTAGTACTCCATTGTGTGTGTAGTGTTTAGTACTCCATTGTGTGTGTGTAGTGTTTAGTACTCCATTGTGTGTGTGTAGTGTTTAGTACTCCATTGTGTGTGTGTGTGTAGTGTTTAGTACTCCATTGTGTGTGTGTGTGTGTAGTGTTTAGTACTCCATTGTGTGTGTGTAGTGTTTAGTATTCCATTGTGTGTGTATGTAGTGTTTAGTATTCAACTTCCAAGGAATGTCCAGAGAAATACATAATAATGTGTATCTTCTGATCTTTTAGAACCCATATTTCTCTGTCATACGTCAGTATTTGTCCATGTCTATGTACGGTAATAGCCGTCTATTCGTATATGGTCCCGTATTTGTGCCGACGTCAAGTAAGATAGAATACATGGATACCCTTCTGATGGGTGATGGTTTGTCGTGCCTACGATGATTGCTTAACAAACATTACCAGACAGCGTGAATGTCATAATGGAATTGTAGTACATGTGAAACGTTCTTAAACTGGGCATCAAAATAGGGCATAATATTCTGTAACAAACGAAACGTCATGTTTTTCTCTCCATCACATTCTCGAGATGTCGGGTTTGATATTGTAGAAACAGTGGTTGTTACATAGGGATGATCAGATTTCCATGGGGGGGGGGGGGGTAAATGTTGTATTCAACGTGTATTCTTACAGCACGTGCTGTAACAGACGAGGTATGTGTATTGTTTGTTTTCAATGTACGTTTATGTCAGAATGATACATACAGCTACATCTGTCTATCGGTCACTACACCCTAAATACTCTAGAAGAAATGGATTTCACGAAATGTCTCGCTGTATGGTATAAAGGGGCTTATAAGTGATAATAATAATATATATATTC